GTAAGGATTGTGAGGCTGACTCAGGGCTGGGCAGTGTTTCATCTGTTGTACAAGGGTGGCTATGAGTTGTAGCCAACAGTGGTAAGAAATGGCAGTTTTAATAGCAGTTTCTTATGAGTGAAATGGAACATCTTTTCATTTAGTGTTTGTGAATTGTCTCAATTCTGTTGCTTATTTTTCTATTGAGGTTTGGTCTTACCCCTTTCAATTTCTAAGTTTTCTTTATATATGAAGAATATTAAGGCGCTCTGGTGGTGTAGTGCCTAAGGCATTTGACTGCTAATCAGAAGGTCGGCAGTACAAACCCACCAGCCACTCCGTAGAAGGAAGAATGGGCGATCTACTTCCGTAAAGATTTACCACCTTGGAAACCCAAAGGGAGTCCCTGTGGGTTGGAGTCAACTTGATGACAGGGAGTTTTATGAAGAACATTAACCTTTTATCTGTTTTTTAAAAATAAAATTGCAAATAATTCATTTGTCTTTCATCACTTTTTTTTGTGTGGGGGTTGTCAGGCAAAAATTTTCTTAATGTAGTTTTTTTTAATGAAATTTTTCAATTAAGGTGTGCAATGAGCCAAGATGAATAAATGAATTCATAGAGGATTGTAGCTCTCAGTAATTGACATCACCCAGTGATGAAATCACAAGCTTTTATTTCCTTACATAGTGCTTAAGTTGCAGATGAATGGGGTAAGATTTACGGTGGGATCAGTCTTCCTCAGACCCAACCCAGGGTGAGTTGACACAGGAAATCTCTGCTGCATCAGTAAGGCTCCAAGATTACGCTGCAGGTCAAAGATAGCAAGACAAAATGGTCTAGTTTTATATCTTAGAGTTCATGGGAACAGGGAGAATAAGAGGTAACGGCCTTTGTTTAGCTGTAACTAGCGTGACAATCCTACTACTGAAAAAACAAACCAAACTCACTGCTGTCGAGTCAGACCCAACTCACAGCGACCCCTCCTTGGGTTTCTGAGGCGGTATCACTACAGAAGTAGATTGCCCAACCTTCCCTCCGAGGAGTGGCTGGTGGGTTTGAACTGCCAACCTTCTGGTTAGCAGTCAAGTGCCTTAGGCACTACGCCAGCAGAGCTTCCATCCTACTACCAAGCTTTGTTTAATTCAAACACCATGACAGTGTTGTTACCGTGGATGCATAGACAGAACATTTCTTCCTCCACTAGGTATAAAATTAATTGTTGTTGTTATTAGGTGCCATCAAGTTGGTTCTGATTGATAGTGATCCTATGTAAATAAGAATGAAACACTGCCCAGTCCTGCACCATCACCACAATCACTGCTGTGTTTGAACCCATTGTTGCAACGACTGTATCTATCCATCTCATTGAGAGTTTTCCCTTTTTCCACTCTCTACTTTACCAAACATGATGTCCTTTTCTAGGAATCAGTCCTTCCTAATATCCAAAGTATGTGAAACAAAGTCTTCCCGTCTTGCTTCCAAGGAGCATTCTGGCTGTCCTCTTCCCATTATTTGTTCGTTCTTCAGGCAGTCTATCATATATTTAGTGCTCTTCACCAATAGCATAATCAAAAGGCACCAATTCTTTGGTCTTTCTTATTTGTTGCCCAGGTTTTGCATTCATATGAGATGTAAGATTGATTACTTTAGTAAAATTTGTAGTCATAGAGACAGAGAAAGTTACTGTGTGTTCAGAACATGGAAACCGTTCTCTATGTCAACAAAGGGGACTGGAAGAGAGAGACTCAATGCCCAGCCTGCCTATCAGAGAATGCTCTGAGCCCATGGTCTCAGCTTAGGCAGCCTGGGTGAGAACCACAGATTCCCAAGGTGAAATTTACATAACTTAAAATGATGTGCTTTGACAAGAATGCAAACAGATGCTTGCATCGCAGCACTATTCACAATAGCCAAAAAGTGGAAGTAACTTAAATGTCCATCATCAGATGAATGGATAAACACAATGTGCTACATACATACGATAGAATATTACTCAGCCTTAAAGAGAAATGGATGAACCTTGATAACATTATGCCAAGTGACAAAAGGATACATATTGTATGATCCCACGTGCACAAAATACCTACAGTTGGCAAGTGTATAGAGACCAAAGTTTATTAGTGTTTACAAGGACCAACCAGGAAAGAGGAATTCATTACTTAGGGGACACGGAGCTTCTGTTAAGGGTGATAGAAAATCTTGGAAAGGGATAATGGTGATGTATGTACATGATGTAGTTAATGTCAATGAATCCTACATGCAAAAAATGTCGACAAAGCAAATGTTTTATTTACCTCCAAATTAACTTTGAAGTATACAATTCACCAACGTCTAGCACACTGACAATGTTGTGAAACCACCACTGCTTAAATTCCAAAATATTTTCTTCACCCCAAAAGAAAACTCTGTGCTCGTTAGGAAGTCACACCCTATTTGCCCCTCCCAGCAACCATCAATATGCTTTCTCTTTGCGTATTCCTATATTCTGGAGACTACATATAAATGTAATCCTGCGACCTTTTGTTTCTGTCTTCTTTGACTAAGCTTGTTTCAAGATTCATCCATAGTGTAGCATGCATCAGTAATTCACTTCTTTTTATGGCTGATAGTACATTGTATGCACATACCATATTTTATTCATTCGTCCTTTGAAGGACATTTTGATTGTTTTATCTTTTGGCTACTGTGAACAGTGCTGCTATAGACACAAGTGTGTACAAGTATTTGTTTGCAGATCTGTTTTCAATTCTTGGGGGATGTACAGTTAGGATGAAATTACTGGTTATTGGTTAAGTAAATGTTTAACATTTAGAGGAATGGTCATTTTATTTTCTGCAGAAGCTTTGCTAAAACTGATGTCTGCTGCAAAATTTAAATAGTTTATAATAATTACAAAATGGAGAAATCTCATAAAATGCTCCTTGCCAGAGAAAGTCCCTAAGAATCCATATCCCCTCACACACTGTTTGTGTACATGAACTTATAACAACAATTTTCTTATTCTATGGTGGCTACAATATGGTTTCCTAAAGTCCATATTATGTCCTGTTTCTGTTATGTTACATGTCTGTGCTGTCTTTTTAATAGCTTCATATTATTACAGGAGTGTATCAAAATTCAAAAAGCATCCTATTATGAACACTTACTAAATATCCATTTAAAAAACTGAACAACATCATTCAACTATCTTTTCAGTATTTTAATCTCATAATCCTAATTCCCTATCCCATGATTCCCAGGCCAAAAAGATGCACATTATACATTCTGACATATCCTCTTTCCCAAAAGTCTTGCTTTAAATGCCACCAATAGGAAAAAGTGTGTAAATATCTATCTTGTCTCCAGAATGAATACATTTGATGAAATTACCAAATTCCCATGTTGTTTTATTTTTTGTTAATTTATTTTGGGATTTTTCCCATGGATGTGGGTGAATACGAGAGAGGACTTTATAAAATTACTGTCCTTGAAATTTAGAATGGCCCATACCTGAGTTTTGATTAAAGAAATGCTACACTTATTAGAAGGCAATCATAATGCCTGGATGAAAATTCAGGGAATCAGAAATCGATGATCAATCCATTGAGAAAAGCTTTGTCATTGGTAAAATACTTCTGATTCCTTGAAAGCATTACAGTAAAAGCACTGCATTGCTGAAGACACACTGAATTGTATAATATGCACTGTCCTGTTACTGCAAGACTAAGAAAAGTTACTCTTGGGAGAATCACAGAAAACTGGATTTATACTGTATACAACTAATGGAACACTAGAGAGAAGCCCAAATAATAATTTCAGAACAGAGGCAACTGGAGGACAGAGAAGAGCTAATTACAACATTTTACTATTTTTGATACTAAATTAATACTGTGGATTGCAATACTGAGCCATTTTCTCATTTTAACTAATGTTTGTTTCCACGAATTTAGTTTGTATTTTACAAGTGACCTCATCTGGATACAACTTTCAAATACTGTATATTTTCTCCTTTTGATATATTTAACAAACGAGTGTGAAACATTGGTGGTTCAGCAGTAGAATTCTCACCTTCCACGTCCAAGACCTGGTTCAATTCCTGGCCAATGTAGTGAGTTGTTTGGTTTTTTTGGTACCTCACGTGCAGCCACCATACATCAGTAGTGATATGTGTTGCTATGATATCGAACAGGTTTTAGAGGGGCTTCCAGATTAACATGGACTAGAAAGGCTTAGTAATCTACTTCTGAAAATGAGCCAATGAAAACCCTACTGATCACAACAGAATACTGTCCGATGCATTGTGCATGAGGATATGATGAGTCAGGGCCAACTTACAGGCAGCTAACAACAACAAAGCACCGAGTGACCTATTAAGAGTGATTCACTTGCAAGGCTGTGTAGATTCACAAGAAAACAACCAAGTCCCTGCCCTCACGGAGCTTACATCACAGTTCACATTGATTTTGATGTGTTCATCATTATACTTCTGTAAAAACATGACTAAACCCTTATCCTTTCTAAGCCCCAGCTCATGAGTGATACCTGGTAACTGTCAAGGTTCTGAGAGAAGCCTGTATTGCACAACTCACAAGGGTTCTATGCTGTGTGGTCTCCTGACCACTGGGATTTGTTGAGCTATGGAAGAAAACACTGACTGTATTGAAACAAATGTTTTGCCTTCTATAAGATCTGATGAATACAAAAATTCATATTGCACATGATTTTTAGAAATCATTTTATAGAACTTCTTTAATCAGAAGATTCTCTGAAGTTCTTGCTACTCTTACAACTTTTATAAAAGTTATCATTACCATGGATTCTTTGATGTCTTACAAGATCTGATCTCAACCTACAGTGCTTACTGTATGTCTTATATTTGTCAGGTTTCTCTCCTATGTAAACGTTCCGATGACACTGGAGTTCTGAAGACCAATGGAAGACACACATCACATGTGTACAGTTTCTCTCCCATGTGAACCTTCTGGTGACTGGCAAGACTGGTATTTCCACTGGGAATTGCAATCCAATCCCTCCTCATACTATTTACATTTGAACGGCTTTTCTCCAGTGTGGACTTTCTGATGGGTCAGAAGATATGAAGCCTGAGTGAAGCCCTTCCCACACTCCTCACAATGATAGGGTTTCTCTCCCGTGTGGACCCTTTTATGGATATAAAATTTTGAGCGAAAACTGAAACCCTTCCCACAGTGCTCACATTTGTATGGCTGCTCTCCTGTGTGGATTTTACAATGATTGATAAATGATGATCTGAAATGGAAGTCCTTACCACATGCATCACATCTGAATGGTTTCTCCCCAGTGTGGATTCTCCGATGTTCCCGAAAACGTGAAGCACGAATGAAGGCCCTGCCACATTCCTCACAATTGTAGGGTTTCTCTCCCATATGGATTCTACAATGAATTTTATGATCTCCTCTACGGCTAAAGCCTTTCCCACACACTTCACATTTATAGGGTTTGTCTCCAGTGTGACCCACCAGATGAAACTCATAATAATATTTTGTCATAAAGCTCTTCCCACACGCCTCACATTTGTATGGCTTGTCTCTTGCATGGATTCCCTGATGGGATCGAAGATGTGACTTCTGAACAAAGCGTTTCCCACACTCTTCACACTTGAATGGTTTTTCTCCACTGTGGCCTCTCCGATGGATCAGAAGATGTGAGGCCTGATTAAAGCCTTTCCCACATGATTCACATTTGTATGGTTTCTCTCCTGGGTGAAGCATATAATGGGTATTAAGTGCTGATCTACGACGAAAGTTCTCACCACAAGCACTGCATTGGAAACGTTTCTTCCCAGTGTTGATTTTCTGACTTTCCTGAAGATGCGAAGAACAAATAAAGCCCCTCTGACATTGGTCACATTTACAAAGTTTCTCCTGTGAATGGACTCTGCAGTGGACATTAAGTGCTAATTTATCACTGAAGACTTTCCCACATTCTTCACATTTGTGTGATTTCTCTACAGTGTGGACTATCTGATGCATTTGCAGATGTGAGTTCTGACTAAATTCCTTACCACAGTCATGACACTTACAGGGTTTCTTTCTTGTGTGAATTCTCAGATGAATACGAAGAACTGAGCTATAACGGAAGCTTTTCCCACACTCGCTACATGTATGAGACTTTTCTCCTGAGTGTGACTGTTGATGAAGATCAAAGCTGGAGACATCACTGAAGGTTTTTGTACACTTATCACATTGATAAGGTTTCTCTGCACTCTGTCTGTGGAACTGAGAACTACGTATTATGTAGTCTTGATATCTGGTTAACACACTTGCAATCTGTTGCCAGATTTGCCAGCAGGAAAGCTCCTCATATGGTCGTACTTCTGGAGCAGGCTCCATCTCACTTGGGATCTTGCCTCCTGTAAGGAAAGAGAATTCAGAGATTGGGCAACTAAAAGCTTTGTTCAGTCACATTTCAGTATTTCCCACTTAGGACAGAGCATGAGACCTAAATGAAAGCAGGGATGATTCTGGTTGTCTTTTCAATGGGCTATCATGTTTTCCAGTGCAAATGGAAAACACACTTGCCTGCTAATTGAAAGGTTGGAAGTGCAAGTCCACCAAGAGGGTTCTCAGAAGAAAGGACTGGCAATCTACTAAAAATCAGTCGCTGAAAATCCTACAGTGTACAGCTGCACTGTGACACACATGGGCCAATATGAGTCACTCTCTACTCAATAGCAACTGGTTGTTTTATCATGTTCTGTGGTATAAAAGTATACAGAAACCAAGCAATGGTCCAGTAGGCTCCTATGCACTAAGCATTAATGAGAACCAGTATACCACAGTTAAGTCTGTTATGGGAGATACAAATTAGAAATCAATGACTTGATTTAAAAAAAAAAAAAAAAAAAAAAAAAAAAAAAACCAAGTAACTGACAATAATATACAAACTGCCAACCTTTTGCTATTTTTATTGAATTACAAAGTCAGTATAAAATCATGGGTACTAAATTACATAGCTGGTGAATTATGAAGTTGCCTGCCACCACAGTCTTAATCAGTGGGGTAAGACCAGTCTCAGAACTCTATGTCTCAATTGGCCATTTAAGTTAAATAGTAAAAAACTGGTTAATGAAAACCACACATTGTAAAACATTCAGGACAGGAATGTTTTCTGGACCATTTATTTCATTTCTGGGTGGCTGTTTTGTTATTAGATTTATAAAGAAATAGTTTTTAAACAAAAATGTGACCCAAAAATCTGTCACTGAATTTTGAGAACCATTAAAGCAAATGAATGAGAAAAAAAATGTCAATAAAATATGAATAATTGAGAACCTTAAGGAAAGGAATTAACATATACTTTGTATACTTAAGTTTATGTTATATTCTGTAAATATAAAACACCTAGAAGTATTTATATCTACATTGTCAAGACCTGAATTGTGTCCACCAAAAAGATATGCTAAAGTTCTAATCTCTGGTACCTGTGAACATATACTTTTTTTTTTCCTTTAATACTTTATTGTATTTTTGGTGAAAGTTTACACAGCACATTAGGTTCCCATTTTACAATTTCTATACATATTGTTTAAGGAGCTCTGGTAGCACAATGTCTAAGGCATTTGACTGCTAACTAGAAGGTTGTCAGTTCAAACCCACCAGCCTCTCTGCAGAAGGAAGATGGGGCAATCTACTTCCGTAAAGATTTACCCCCTCAGAAACCCAATGAGGGTTGCTATGAGTTGGAATCGACACGATGGCAGTGAGTTTGGTTTTGATACATATTGTTTAGTGACATTAGTTACATTTTCACACTGTGTCAAAATTCTCATTAATTGGATTCTGGTTGTTTTATTTCCAGTGCTCTCCTTTTCCTGCCATCTTATCTTCTCATCTTTGCATCTGATAATTGTTGACCTTTTGGTCTCATAGAGATGGACTGTTAACAGTGCACCACACTCCTTTATTTTGGGTGCCAATCTGTTATTTCACTAAAAGGTGACCTCAGGATAGTTTTGCCTCAAGATTTAAAGAACAACTCAGGGTGATAGTCTCAGTGGGTCCTCTAGTCTCAACTGATACAGTTAGTCTGGACTTTTTAAGAATTTGAGGCTCTGTTCCACAATTTTCTCCCATTCCATCAGGGTCCATCTATTGGAGCCCTGATTAGAACAGCTAGTAGTGCCAGCTTGGCACCATCTAGTTCTGGTCTCAGGGGAGATGAGGCCATGGCTCATGTAGGCTATTAGCTATGTAGACTAGCTTCTTCTCTGTGACTTGGTTTCCTTCTTTCTCTTTTGCTCTTGATGAGCAGAGACCAACAGTTGTATCTTAGATGGCTGCCCACAAGCTTTTAAGACCCCAGACACTACTCACCTCACTGGGATGCAGAACGTGAATTGTATTATGCCAACTGACTGATCTGTCTCATGAGACTAAGGTCCTATGCTTTCAAACCCAGAAAAGCAATCCCACAATGTGTTTGGTGATATCTGACAAGTGCCTGTAACCATGTCCTCTATGAATATATGTATGTGCACATGTATCTGCACATACATGTACATATAGACACTTCTGTGCACATGCTTGTACACAACTATATCTAACTGTACACATATATGCCCGTGTGTGTGTGTATATATATATGTATGTATGTATGTATGTATATACGACCACATACTTGTCTGTCAGCTATCCTTGGTGAAAACAGGGTCTCTGAAGGTATCGTAAGTTATCATGAGGTCATGCTGTAACAGGGAGGGTTCTAATCCAATAATGAGTGGTGTGCTATAGAGGAGGAGAGGAGACAGGGAAAGACAGCCACTTGAGGCTGAAGCTTCAAGCCAAGCAACACTTGGAGATACAAGAAGCTGAGAGAGACAAGAGGGATCTTCCCTAGAGACTTTGAAGGAAGTATGGACCAGCCCACATGTTGATTTGGACATCTCCAGCACAGGAAACAATAAATTTCTGTTCTCATAAGCTATGCTATTTGTGGTATTTTATTACAGTAGTTCCAAGAAACCAATACATACATGTTTAAAGTATTTCAGGAAGTTCTGCAAACATGTACACCTAATTCTACCTTTTTTGTTTTGTTTTGTTTTAAATACAGATAATAAATTAGCTAAACTCTTGACCTCCTCAAAAATAATTTAAGTTAGAAATGTTTTCCTAAACTATTTATACTTATTGGTATTCTAGTTTCTAAATTTATACAGATAACTATGTATGTTAGGAGCTCTGGTAGCATAGTGGCTAAAGCACTTGACTGCTAACCAGAAGGCTGGCGGTTCAAACCCACCAGCCACTCCTCGGAAG